ACATAATTCGACACTGCCATCACTACTCTACCTCCTATCCTCATAATTCAACACTGCCATCACTACTCTCTCTCTACCTCCTTCTTAGTCAGTTACAAAGTGAAATGAACTTATCATGTAACGATGACTTAAATCATTGTCAGATTCAGTGCTCAATGGATGAGGACAGCAACTTGTTAAAGATTCAGTGCGCAGCGGCTGGGAATGGAATGTGTTACAGATTCAGTGCTCAGTGGATGGGGATGACAACTTGTTAAAGAATCAGTGTGCAGTGGCTGGTGTAAGCACAGACAACTATGTTTGACTTACTTATTGTCTCTTCCAAATTGCTCTTGATTTCGATCAGAGTTGTACCTATTTCTGTCATAATCTTGTCCTCTTTCCCTCTCTCTTATCCAATCATGGTCCTTCTTTCGGTCCCTCTCTCTTTCATAATCTCTCTCTCTGTTTCGGTCTCTGTCACGATTCATGTCTCGGTCACGGTCATAAGCTCTGTCACGATCACGAACATTGTTACGACCTCTGTCCAAGTCACGATCACGTCCATGGTCTCTGTCCCAAACACGTTCTCTGTCACTGTCACGGTCACGGTCCCTTTCTCTGTCACGATCTCTGTCCCGCTCACGATCTCTGTCACGGTCACGACCTCTTTCTCGTTCAATGTCTCTGTCCCTTGATTTATCTCTAGATCTCTCTTTAGATCTCTCCCTATCTCTAGATGGGGACCTGGAACGAGCTTTTTTTTGGTCGTCGGTTTTGGTTACAAGCTGCTTGTTTCTCTTCTCATCCCATGGGTATACTTTCGGCTCGGATTTCTGTTCTTTGCGAGCTTTTTCCAACTCCAGATACCTTCCTGTACAGTTAAAAATAATAATTTGATTCATTATTTCAATACTTTAATTTTACTTTTTTTTGTTTATTTTAATTTTAACCGATGCTGATATACAACTAACTGAAGACAGAGCAGGTAATAAAAGCTACAATGTAAGTGCCTCAAACTCATCAACATACCTCTCTCATATTCATCAAGAACCATTCTGTCCTTTTCACGCAAGAATGCATCAACTTCTACCTCTCTACCAAGTGGTGCATGTTTACCATGTCCGTAATCAATCTCTTCAACTGTATGTGCTTTCACAAACGCACTTTCATTAGGGTTGGGCGGCGGTGGTGGTGCATAACTCCAAGCTTCAGCTGTTAAAAAAATAACACTTGTATAATACAGGCAATATAATCAGAATATATTCAGTATCTAAATATCAAGGCACTAATTCAAATTCAATGCTTAACTGTTTCTGAATTTCAATGACAATTGCTTGCATTCAGCGGGAAAACTAATTGAGGAATCTGTATCCACCAAAAGTACCAGGATGTGTGTGACCTTTAGGTCATGTACAAAAGGGTACTGAGAACAACTTACAGTCACAAATAGGAATACAAAATATATATCACCTCTTCTATGCTCATATTCCCTAGCATATGCGTAATCTCTTCTATCATAGTAGTACCTTTCATATTCTTCTCTCTCCCTTTCCCAACTATAATATCTGTCATAACCATAATCTCTGTAATTATATTCCAGAAAAATGACATTTTTATTATTGTTATATTTACTGTTATGAAGTCCATATTCCAGACTAGAGCAATAATGACCATTGTATCAAATTGAAAGGGCTTCTTGAGATACTGATAGAACACATGCACATTAACACACAGACAAGGTTAAACTAACTTTTTTTGTATATATACAGAAGTAAAAAATTTAGCTACTCTAAAGAAATTACAAAATTTGTTAAGACTTTTCAGCAGAACCAAGTTTAAATAATTCATTATTTGGAGTATGTGAGGCTAGATGACATGTTAGACAGCAGCAAGAAACCACTGAATATAGCAGTAAATGAAAGATAGAAGTTTAGGTGTCTTTTAGTTTGCAGTATTTCTCTTGGTGCCATGTAACCCAGTTTTTCAAAACAACTGTGCTTTTATAGTTGAAGGTTTATTTTGTTAATTGGTCCCCCCCCCAGATTTTATAGATGCATTTTGAGTCTCGTATGGTTCGGTGGTTTTAGAACAAATAATTCATCAACAAATGAAAGATGCATGATGATCTATTAATTTGCTTATCATTCCAACTACACAAACCAGGGAAGTCATCATGACATTTCTAGTTTTTAATTCAGAGATATGTATCTTTGTAGATAAAAGGTCATTGACATACACATGCTGCGAAATATGTTGGGATATGGGACTGTTCTATAATGTGAACAATATGAGCTATGAGTACTCGAACATCAATGAGACAAGAAGACACACCTGTCATAATAACTACCAGGATAAGGTGATCTGGAATATGGATCTGGTGGTCCCAATGGTCTGGAATAGGGATCCAGTGATCTTGAATATGGATCTGGCGGCCCTGGTTGTCTTGAATATGGATCTGGCGGCCCTGGTTGTCTTGAATATGGATCTGGCGGCCCTGGTTGTCTTGAATATGGATCTAATTGTCTTGGTACTCTAGAATATGGATCAAACGGTGGAAGATGATGCTCTTGTGGCATTGGTTCATCAATAAAGTCTCCATCATCAGTTAATCTCCGTGTTTTGCCACCCTAGAAACAGAGAACATTATAAAATATTCATGATAACAGCAGAGTGGTACCCAACACCTGTTACTACTATAATAACAATTGTGTTTCTGTGTCAGATCATATAATAGGCCTAAATTACCTGGTAATCAAAGACTTGAACTCCTTCTCTTTTTGATAGTTCTTCAAGTTCTTTCTCTCTGTTATTCTCTTCTGTGCTTTCAAGCTCACTTTTTTGCATTGGAACTGATTGCTGTGATGCAGCATTGTTCGATGAAAGTTTCTGCAACTGTTCAAGTTGTTTCAACTTAGCTTGTTGGGCTCGTAACACTTCAATTTCCTCTATAGCTTTTGATGTAAAGGCATCTCTACTAGGTACTTCCTTGTTAGTAGCTTCTTGACCTATTTGCTCATGTTGCTCCTGATCCATTCCTTCCTGTTTTTGAAGATGGCCTGGTGGCAGCATTCGTTCGTGTTGCTGACCTCTAGCATGTGAAGGCAATTGTTCCTGTTGAGGCATGACAGGTGGTGGCATTCGTAGCCGTGGTTCACCCCTACCAAAAGGTTGCATCTGTTGCTGTTGTTGACCTCTACCAAAAGGATGCATCTGCTGTTGTTGTTGACCCCTACCTTGTGGTGGCATTTGTTCCAGTTGTTGACCCCTACCATGTGGTGGCATTTGTTCCAGTTGTTGACCCCTACCATGTGGTGGCATTTGTTCTAGTTGTTGACCCCTACCATGCGGTGGCATTTGTTCCACTTGTTGACCCCTACCATGTGGTGGCATTTGTTCCACTTGTTGACCTCTACCATGTGGTGGCATCTGTTCCAGCTCTTGACTTCGTCCTTGTGGTGGCATTTGTTTCAACTGTTGACCCCGTCCATGTGGTGGCATTTGTTCCAGCTGTTGACCCTGTCTATGTGGTGGCATTTGTTCTTGTTGCTGACCAAACGGTTGCATTCGTTCAGGTTGTTGACCTCTACCCTGTGGTAGCATTCGCTCAGGTTGTTGACCCCTACCATATGGTGGCATTTGTTCCAGGTGTTGACCCCGTCCATGTGGTGGCATCTGTTGCTGACCCCTACCAAAGGGTAGCATTCGCTCTTGGTGTTGACCCCTGCCATGAGGTGGCATTCCCTCTTGTTGACCCCTGCCAAATGGTAGCATTCGTTCCTGCTGTTGACCTGTACCAAAAATTTGCATTTGTTGTTGCTGACCCCCAAATGGAAGCCTTCGTTCCTGCGGTTGGCCCCTACCTGCTGGCAGCATTCTTTCCTGCTGTTGGCCCCTATCAACCGGTAGCATTCGTTCCTGCTGTTGGCCCCTACCAACCGGTAGCATTCGTTCCTGCTGTTGGCCCCTACCAACCGGTAGCATTCGTTCCTGCTGTTGGCCACTACCAACCGGTAGCATTCGTTCCTGCTGTTGGCCACTACCAACCGGTAGCATTCGTTCCTGCTGTTGGCCACTACCAACCGGTAGCATTCGTTCCTGCTGTTGGCCACTACCAACCGGTAGCATTCGTTCCTGCTGTTGGCCCCTACCAGAAGACATCATTTGCTCCTTCTGTTGACCCCTACCAACAGGTAGCATTCGTTCATACTGCTGACCGGCATCTGAGGATATGATTTGCTCCTGTTGGTCTTCACCTTTCAGTGTTTCTTCTTTCTGTTGTCCTTCGCTCTTTGGGTGTTGTGCTGGTGTTTGCACTTCATGATGAGACGCTTCTTGGTGTTGTTGTGAGTTGTTATGATCATCTTTACTTTGAGAGGGACGACTTGTTTCAGCACTTTTTGTATTTCTTTGCTGATTTAAAGACATCAGAGATGGTAAACGTTTGTGTTCTTCCATCATTTTTCTGTCATCGCATTCTTGATCAAATGGTGGTTCAATTGTCATATCAAGAAGAGGTCTAGGCCCTCTGTTCAATCCTGGAGGTTGAAATCTCTGTTGTGCTGGACCACTAGGACCTCTAAATCCAAATTGAGGACCACCAACTCCAGGACCACCTCTAGGTCCATCTGGTCTCTGACCTCTAAACCATGGACCAGGTCCCCGAGGCTCAAAAGAACCATCTCTTGGAGGGCCATCAAATTGGCTTGGTGTGTGCTGAAAATCTCCCTGTGGTCGAGGAAAACGTTGACCATCAAATCTTGGACCACCTCTTGGACCACCACGCCCAAAAAGCCTTGGCTGGTTCTGTTCATGAGGAAAATTGGGTCGCATAGTATTTTGATTATTAAAATTAGTTAGTGGAGGTCTATTAAAACGTTCTGGACCACCAAACTGTCTTGGACCACTTTGACGTGGCCATCTTCCACCTTGCTGAGATTCTTGATTAGGTAACTGTTGCTGCTGTTGAAATTGTTTATCATGTTGAAGTTGTTGTCTATCATGTTGTTGTTGATCATGTTGTGGTTGTTGATATTGTTTATTATGTTCTTGTGGTGGTTGTTGATTTTGTTTTTTATGTTGTTGTTGAAGCTGCTGCTGCTGTTGTTGCTGCTGTGGCTGCAGCTGTTGTTGTTGAAGCTGCTGCTGTTGCTGTTGTTGCTGCTGTGGCTGCAGCTGTTGTTGTTGCTGCTGCTGCGGCTGCTGCTCCTCTTGTTGTGGTTTGGCCTTTAAGTCTTCTTGCATTTTTCTTCCTTCTGTTGAATTTTGTTCTTTACGTTTTAGGTCTATGTAATACTTCTGTTGTTCTTGATGTTGTTTCATCTGTTGTTGCCATTGTTCCCATTGCTGTCCATACTGACTAAACTGATCTTTATTTGGATGGTCTCTATGTTGCTCTTTCCAGTCGTCAAACTGTGTTTTCCACTGAGTAATCTGTTCACTAATTTGTTCATGTTGTTGCTCCAACTCTTCCTAATGAAGAAAACATAACATGTTCTATCAGAAGTGCAACACCAAGTACTGCGAATTATTTGCTCTATTAATCTCATATCAGCCAATGTTACATACTGAATCATAAAATATTATTGCCTCTAATTTATGTAAGCACATAATACAGCAACTTTGTTTTATGCTTTTTAGTCACCATGAACACAAAGTCCAAAAAAGTATTGCCATAACAAATTACAGACTGAACACAATATAAGTGCACTACTGCGAGGTAATAACGCATAGACTGAATTAAAATGGTTTTCACAAAAGAACATTGACAAACAAATTTCATTAAAAATTACTAAAATTAGGCACTGTCACTGTTCACTACTGATATACATTTGACCCACTTCCCAAAGTCTGAGACCTGTGGTTCACATTTTCAAAAACACCTTGAAGCAAATTGGTTGTTTGACCACTATCATGTGGTGCCATTTGTTCAGGTTGTCATGGTTACAAGAGTCTTGAGTTGCCACTGGCAACAAATTAATTCCAGGCTGGAGGCACCTGAACGAACGTGATTGTATTTACCTGCTATGACATTACACATTTGTATTAAATTAGCATGATGATTATAGTCCCACAGAACTGTAAATTTCGTCTTCATCATTTTATATTAAAATCAACATTTTGCCAATGCAGCGAAGCAACTGAGAGAAATGGCAAAAAAATCTAAGCTTAGATGTACACAGATGTACTAAGAGTGCGTCAACTAAAATGAGCCTGAGTTACCTATATATATATAATATCAAAGCAATCAAATTATAAGTATAAGAAAAAATGACAAAAATATTCATCTAAATTAAAGAATTGAAGATACAATGTATCATCACAAAATTAAAAAAATCTAAGAGGTTTACCCAAGGTACATATAAACCAAGTATCAAAGCAATCAGACTTGCATTTTTCAAGAAGTTAAAAAAGTAAAAAGTTTATGCAAATGCCAGGTGTCAACCTGGCGTTTGCATAAACTTTTTACTTTTTGCTGACCTAACAAAAACATGCATAGATTGTTATTAAAAATGGTTATTAAAATACAGCCAATAATGTTTGTTGCCCTGACCTACACTTTAACCTGAGATTCCAGCTCTGTCATTTTTGATGAAAACTGCAGTCAAAACATGTGCCCCCACTGATGGTATTTACAACTGATTAGAAGCATACAAACCTAATTATGTTTTTTTTATGAGTGAATGTTTCTAATGGAATGGATATATTGACACATATCAGTAGATAGTATAAGTTACATACATGTATATGGTTTAACAAATCGCATAGACATGATGTCTATGTTACTTAGATTACAGGTATTTAACCTAATAAATACCCTGATAGGGCTGATAATTTATCGCACGTTTAAATTTTGTCATCAATTTTTCCTGTTATTTTTTTCTGCAGAACGAAATATTTATTTTGAGAAAAACTGTCTAGAAAAATGAAAAAAATCCATATTTTTGGAATACCGGGTAATTCTCATAGGAAGTCATGTTAAAGCATTATGTCATATAAAATGTAAAGCAAACATCAGAATGTTCTAATAATTCTTGGCTAACATATGTACACATCATGTAACTACATATTTTTTTTTTACCATATGTAACCAAACAAAATTTTGGGATAAGGTGAGAACTTTTTAAAAATCAAAATTTTGTCATGGATGTTTGAATTGCGTTTTTCAGAAAATAGTTTGGTGACTACCAGTATATATTTTTATTTGGGTTCATTGAACAACAGAATTCCACTGAATTAAATTTTGACCAAATTGAGGAATCAACAAACATTGCAAAAATTATAATTGTTATGCTAGAACCTATAAAAGTCAGATGAGAGAACTGTAACATTGACATTGACAAACAATCAGATAAAATATAATACTGTCATACCAAAGACATTGACTGCAAGTATTGAGCTTGAGCAAATACTTGCTGTTGTTGGTACATTTGCCTGTACATCTGTTCATATTGTTGTTGCATTAAAGTCTGTTGATATTCTGCCCACTGTCTCTGTTGCTGCCACTGTGCAGCTTGTTCTTGAAGTTGTTTCATCTTGACTTGCTCAGGATCAGTCTAAGAGGTGAAAAAAAAATGTACACAGTTTTTGTGTCATGATTAAAAAATAATAATAATGATTTCCGTGCTATATTTTGCATAACAACATCAGAGTGCGAATTAAAAGTATGCAAATTTAAATCTTTTTTTTGGACAATATGAGTCATTTATAAATGAATTGGATGCAGGAATTAGAGATCACAAATTAATAACAGTTTTTACAGTAAGTACATTACTGTAATTGCTCTATTGGACAGTTAGAGAATATGACAATAATATTTCCAGCCTAGTGGATTATATGTACAACTAGGTGTACATGTAGTAGAGAGTAGATAAAACCTTATTTTTAAGACTAGTAAATTTCAAGTGAACAATTTTTTCATAGACAAAAATGTTAATTTTCCTGAGAATGAGGATGCCAACATTATTTTGGTCAGTTTCCAAATTGAATTTATGTCACAGATAAATACAACAAACGTCACAATTGCGTGAAATTAGTCAGATCGAAACGTGTCCCAGTGTCGGCGACAGGGTTTGTAAACGGTTATGTTTTGATTAGTAGAGTAGACAATTATGATAAACAAATACATTGTAGCAAACATAACGCCCAACCGTCCACTGCACGTAATATAAATAGGTGACGGTAAATGTTGTATTGGTGACGCACATTTGTGTTAGGCTAGTTTATAGGGGGCATAGTTCTTCTGTGTCGATACAAATCCTAATGTCTGAAAACAACAAATTTGATGACACCAACTAAAAAAACAACACAAAGACTAAACGCCGACACAAAAAAAAGAGCAACGGACCCATAGCTAAATCAAACTGTTACCCTCGTTAAAACACGGTATATCTCTTTCTGGAGGATGTGGTGGCCCTAAAAAGGGCAGTTTTGTACAGTTTCTGAGCTAAACGAACAGACATCCCGTTGCACTGATGAATGGTCT